TGTTTTGTTTTTCCTCCCCTGTATGGAGAGAAGAGAGGAGAGTTCTTTGAATAAATGGAGATGAGTTCCCRTGCTCCAAAGTTATTTGACTCTGTGGTTCTCAGTGTGCAGGTTTCCAGCCCTCTTAGCTCACATGTTACAGGGAGTACTAATTGAAGGAGGTAAAAAAATTGATCCGTTTTGTTTGAGCATCACTTTTATGTTTCTCTGTCAGGAGTTAAGTAAGGATTTTATCTTTTCTTTTTTTGTAGGTAAATATATGGTTAAGTAGATAGCTTTGTTTGACAATACTTTAAATTAAATAAAACTAGCAACACATTACGTTCTGTTTTATTTCCTTTAAAGAAGTGAGGAGTAGGGAGACAAAATTATGTTTTTTGATACTGAGACTGGACGAGTAGCTCTCGGCAAACTGCCGACTTCAAAAGTAGCTCTTGGTTCAAAAAAGGTCGGGCACCCCTGAATTAGAGTGACTGAATCAATCATCCAAAGTGATCATGGAGCCTATAGAGAAAATAATTTTTTAAATTCTATGAAGCCACACAATATCACCGTCAATTTCCCCAACCTGTGGTGACACGTCCTGTTTCGGTTACCGGATATTTCAAAATAAAAGTCTGAATATTGTGAAATGTGTTTTTCTTWTTCTGTTACGCACRTTGYGATGTTCGTGTCTWTGAAAATGGYTRTTTAAATAAAGTTTACTGACTTACTTATTGCTTCAGTCACTCACACATAACGGGTTGTCAGCGTCGGGGGAGTCAGGTTTACATGCAAATGATGGACCACGGACGCACGGATCAGCAGCTCGTCAGTGCGCAGCTCCTAGTGAAACTCACTTATCTGATAAATTAATTATAATTAATTATCTGGTAAGCGTGATGTGCTCTTGTTCTCAGTAAATAAATCAAAGCCACTTCTTTTATTTCATCTGCCATGCACCTGCAGAGGAGGCTCTGGACACGCATCAAGAGCACTTTTGAAGAGCGTCTGTTTRACACCAAAGTGCACGAGTCCAACTTGAAGCGTTTGTGCGTTTTTGTGCGTTCAGTGTGAAGTTGATCACAGCATAATTTCTCTCCATHGGGCCATGCTTGTTTATAAAAAGCATAAAAAGTGCTGAAATCGCCATATTTCCTTAAGCTTCACATGTCAAATATATGTTTCACAAATCACACACTTGGTTTTAAACATTCTGCAATCAGTGTAGAATAATCTAGTCCAGGTTTGAAGTCTCTGTGTGTTTTAATTTTTAAACTAGAGTGGATTAAGAATGCTCAAGGTAGTGAGAACAGGTGGAATCGCCCTTTAGCCATTTCTGAAAACTTCAGAGATTTTTTCTCATAAATTTACAAGTTTTTTTTCTTGTAAATTTCTGACTTTACCAAGTCAGAAAATATATAGTTAAAATGTCGCAAATTTCTGCCTTTCATTACGGAAATTTCTGAGTTTTTTTCTCACAAATTTGCAAC